GGTCTCCCTATTTGTCCTGCCAGAGATGACATCCCCGGCCACCATGGGAGTGCAGGTGCCCCTTCCTGAGATATGCTGGGTTCTTTGGACCCTGTATCTCATGGGGTCTCTGATTGCCTCCTTATCACTGCTGCAGGTCACCTGTGAGTATGGCATGGTGCACGTGGTCTCCCAGAGCGGAGGCCCAAAGGCAAGGATTACTGCATCCTGTACAACCCACAGTGGGCACACCTGCCACAGGACCTCAGCAAGGCGGTGAGTACCTGCCGCTCTGACTGTGCCCTCTGCACCGCTCTGACCAGCCATCTCACCTGCTGTGCCGTCTGCTGTTCCCATCTGGCCTGTGCAGCCTGCAGGAAAAGACTTGAGTCAGGATCTGGTAGGGAGCCTCCACAACATGAGGCAATGAAATTGTCCTGGCTGGCAGCCACCTGCCACTTGCCTAGGGCATCCTTGGATGAGCTCACGCCCCTCATACCTCAGGCTCTGTGGTCATAAATGGACAGCTGCCAAGGGGGTGTTGACAGACTGCCCTGCGGGAGATGTGGCTGCACTGCAGTTGGTGGAGTACCATTGCTACTGCTCCACTCCAGCGTCTGTGGAGGGTCAGGACAAGAGGGGTCTTTGGGGAGTGATTAGCGGTGAGCCCTGCTCAGCCTTTCCTGTACTGTCCTCCCTCCCCATTGGCCTCCACTCTAGGCCCACGGCTGACTGTCCATCTCGCACCTCTGAGACTCATGCGTCCTTCTCTGCCATGTCCTCCTTGTCCCTCCCACCCATGTTCTACAGCAGACCCAGGACATACTGGGGCCCATGCTCCAAGTGGGCCACTTCTTGTTTGCTTTTCAACACCACTGGTATGTGTGTCATGTGCACCCACGTGTGCAAGTGAGTGCATGCACCAGTGTGAGGACGTGTTAGGCATGTGTGTGTTGGTGTTGAAGCTTGCGTGAGCGCACATGTGCACGTACGAGCAGGTGTTTGTGTCTGCACAGATGCTGGGAGGTCTCATCGAGTCAGGCCTCACTTCCTCTGCTCAGGGCCCTCCTTAGCCTGAGGTAAAGCTCAGCCTGTGGTGGCAGATGCTCAGTTGTGATGGAACTGGGAGGCTGTTGGAGCAGCTCTATGGAGGACAGCACTGAGTGCCAGCCAGGGCTTCGTAGAACCAGGGCCACCACATGTGCTGCCATCTGCGGGTTGTTTTTTTTGTTTTGTTTTGTTTTTTCTGGAGGATCAGGGTTTGAATTCAGAGCTTCATGCTTGCAAAGCAGGTGCTGGCCACACACCCTCAGTCCATTTGGCTCTGGTTATTTTGGAACAGGTCTCTCGAACTGTTCATCCAGGCTGGCCTCGAACAGTGATCTTTCTAATCTCAGCCTCCCAAGTAGCTAGGACTACAGGTGTGAGCTCCCAGTGCCTAGCTCCATCTGTGGGTGTTGTGTGACACAAGAAAGCCTGTGGGGGACCCATTCACAGCCCTTGCCCCCTCTGAGCCCTGGCTTAGTCTCCTGATGGCAGGGGAGGAGAGGCCCTATTACAGCCAGTGTGCACTTGGCAACAACTGGCCTTTGAGGCAGATTTGGGGCACGGCAGGTTGTAGTGCCCAGTGGGGCCTGGGCTCTGCCTGACTGCTTGTGCCCCACTCCCTGCTGCAGAAGCCTTCAGCAGACCAGGAGAACTCTTGCTGTGGACACAGCCTGATGTTAGAGCTGCCAGGGCTTTGGGCCATGTGTGCACTGTCAGGGCCTCTGCTTGGCCCTTTCATCACAGGCAGGACTGAGACCTCATGGTAGGCACGTGGTCCCAGGACAAAGCTCCTTGTTGTGGTTTGGGTACTGAAATGGTCAGCATGTCCACAGGCGATCTCCCCTGGTGACTTGGTAGTTGAGGAACCTCCTGTAACACTGCTTTCCCTCAGTCTCTTCTGCAGCTGAGCGACTGGACGTCCTCACTGCTCTGCTCCCCTGGTGACCTCCCTGCCAGTGGTTTCAGTGACCAGATCCCACTGGTGGCCCGTGGGAAGTGCACCTTCTACGAGAAAGCGCGACTGGCGCAGGGCAGTGGGGCGCGAGGGCTACTCATCGTCAGCACGGAGAAACTGGTACGACCACACCCCACACCCAGCCCCAGTCCCCTGATGGGGACTGATGCCCAACCTTGCTTTTGCAAACTGAGTCTGTGGTTGAGAGTTAGAGGCCAGTGGTGCCGGAGGGATCATGAACCTGGCAGGGCCTGGTCTGCTGTCCCATTCAGGAGCACCCAGGAGTTTCACGCAGTCCTGCCTACCCTCCATTGCTATGGTCTGGCTCAGCTCAGAAGATGCTGCCTGAGGCCTGAGAGGTGACTTCTGCACTCCCTCCTCTCCTCCCAGGTACCCCCAGGAGGCAACAAGACGCAGTATGAGGAGATTGGCATCCCCGTGGCCCTGCTCAGTCACAAGGACATGCTGGCCATCTTCAGGGTAGGCTCCCGCCACACTGTGCTGGCCCGGTGTGTCCAGAGAGGGCAGTGGGCAGGAGCCTGTGGGATCAGGAGTGGTAGTGAGGGTGTCAGGGGCCCAGCTGCACATGGTCCCCCGCCTGGCTCTGCGGGAGGGCAGGCAGGAGGTGCCGGCTCACGCTCACCTCTGGCATGTTCTCCGAGGCAGCGCTTCGGTCGTGCGGTGCAGGTGGCACTGTACGCACCCAACGAGCCGGTGCTGGACTACAACATGGTCATCATCTTCGTCATGGCTGTGGGCACAGTCGCCATCGGTGGCTACTGGGCTGGGAGTGGGGACGTGAAGAAGTGAGTGCTGTGGTCCGCGTGCATGAGCGTGGGTCAAGGGGAGGATGGCTTAGGACCCCAGGAAGCAGAAGGTCCATAGTGACAGGGCTGCCTCAAGGAGAGGCGTCCACTCCCCCACAGAACCTTGTGGAATGTGACCTTCATCCCCTCCACCCCCCGCCCCAGGAGGCCTGGCCAGAGTTCCCAGAAGAGCTGTCTCGAGGGTCATGCTGAAGATGCAGGAAAGGTGTGATGGACGCTGCACAAAGGCTAGTGGGTGGAGGGTGTCCACTGCCCTTTATCAGGGCAGTGGCTGAAGCTGGCCTGCTAGGTGGCTTAGATGAGAGTCCTTCCCTCATCTAAGGGCTTCAGCTCCTCAGCTGGTTCATCCTCAAGCTGTCCCTGGGGCAGTCTGGCCACCCACCCATGATGGGCTCTAGGGCCAAGGTCTGGAGGGATTGGGCAGTGCTAGTGACAGAAGGCTGGCCCTGCCTCCTGCATTTTCCCACAAGCTGCTCTTGTGGCCAGAGAGTTTTATGCAGAAATCAGATGCACTTGGCCACATCAGTGCTCCAGCCAGCCCCAGTGGTCCAGGATAGGTCTGTCATTGCACCCTCATGCTCCCCTGGACAGTGGTGGGTGTCAGTGCCTCCCAAGCTTCAGCCCAGGCCCCAGGAAACACTGAGCTGCTGGCCACGTGTCTGCCAGGGGAGGGTCATGTACCTTTTGTCCCCGTGGTGTCTTCCAAGAAGGTACATGAAACACAAGCGTGACGACGGGCCTGAGAAACAGGAGGACGAGGCAGTGGACGTGACGCCGGTCATGATCTGTGTGTTTGTGCTCACGTGCTGCCTGATGCTCGTGCTGCTGTACTATTTCTACGACCAACTCGGTGCGCCCCTCCCCCATTAGCACATTACACTGCCCACAGAGCTGTGCCGGGGTGGGCTGGTGGCCATGCAGGTCCTGGCTGGGTTTCACCCGCTGTCCCCCGCAGTGTACGTGATCATCGCCATCTTCTGTCTGGCCTCCTCCACGGGACTCTACAGCTGCCTGGCGCCCTGTGTGCGCAGGCTGCCTTTCTGCAAGTGCAGGTGAGTCTGCCAAACTTGCCAGCAGCACGGGTGGGGCTCTGTCCTGTGGCTGGCTGTTTCCTGTGTCCAGGCCCTGGAGCTCCAAGCTTTGCCTGATGATAGCCAGTATCCCCCTTCCTCTCCCACAGCCCCTAGCCTGCTTGGCACGGTTCAGTGCAAACAGCAGGTGCTCATTCAATGCTGGCCAGGGATTCATAGCCCATGAACAGGGTAAGGTTGGGAGGTGGGCTCTGGATCTCGGGTCCCCTACTGTCCCCATGTGCCCAACTGTCCTGCTTCTCCCCCATATCCTGTCCCACGAAGCTCTCAGTAGAGCACCCCTGCTGGGGCAGTAGGGGCCTCACCCAGGCACCTAGTGGAGTACTTGGAAATTTCCCCAGACCAGCGCTGGTCTGGTGCTGGGGTGCAAGGGGAGCTAACACTGTGGGCAGGGATGGGGGGCCTGGAGAGTAGACCGTGCACAGGTGGCTTCCAGGGTTTCCACAGGTGCAGCCACTCTGCTCTCAGGGCTGTGGAGCACCTCAGTAGGGCCCTGGGGCCCTGGACAGGAACAGTTTGCAGGAGCCCTATGTGAGGGTCAGGTGGGGTCTGGGCAGTGACCATGACAGGTGGCTGAGGGGTGCATGGTGGTGGGTTCTTGGTGCTAATGGGCACCCCTCCCCCAGGGTCCCGGACAACAGTCTACCCTACTTCCATAAGCGCCCACAGGCCCGCATGCTGCTCCTGGCGACCCTCTGTGTGGCTGTGAGTGTGGTGTGGGGTGTTTTCCGCAACGAGGACCAGTAAGTTCTCCCTACCCCCAGGTCCTCAGGTGCCCCTGCCGAGACGCCCGTTTCCCCACCTTGCCAGGCCATGTACTGGCTCCCTGCCACCCTGCATCCAGTTTCACTTGGCCTGGCCTGTTGCCTCGTGAGCACTGATTGGAATCTGGATAGGGATGCCACAAACCCTCCTGGCCCTGGGTACTATGCCCTCCAGCATGGCCTCCGCGGGACTCCCAGGCAGGACCACCGTGTGGCGCTACACACCACAGGCTCTGTACCCCGGGGTCTGGGCTCACCTGATGCTCTGGGTCCCACCTGTTCCTGGCCCCTGTGGTGATGGAGGTAGAGGGGCTGCTTCTCCACATGCTTGCTTCTCATGAGGTTCTGACATGTGGACGCCATACAACAGCCCAGTCTCCCCTGCAAGGCAGAGCACCCTGCACCATGGCTGAGGACAGCCAGCCTATCCCCACCCTCTCCTGGTCATTGCCGATACCATCTGGTGCATCCCAAACCTCTGCAGGCAGCTGAGTGCTCTTGGCTTCCATGGTCGTTGGGGCTTGAAGCTCCAAGAGTTCAGTGGGAGGAGGAAACTCTGAAAATACTGATTGTATGCAAGTAGAACAGGGACTCTGACCGCGACATCTGAATCAGGAAAATGCCCAGTGCTATGCCACGCTGTCCTTGATCTCCCAGCAGCATCTGCAGGCTGTGGGCGGGCAGCTTTCCTGTGCATGGGCTAAAGTGACACTCCATCCCATGTCCAAACACATCATGTGCCTGTCCAGAGCTGGACACAGTGTCTATGGCGACTTGTGCAGCAGGTGACCAGCACAGCCCTTGGTTGAGCTGTGAGCCACAGGAGAACAACAGTCAAGGACAGAAGAGTCAAGGTCCTGAGACAGAGGCCCCTCCTTGTTTTGCCCTCAGCCCCTGGCTGCATGGCCCATCCCCAAAGCCTGTTCCTCAAAGACTGTCTCCAGTCTCCTGGGGACTCAGAGATTCTGTGTGGAACCTGGCTGGGCACAAGTTTCACTTTTTCCTAAGTAGCGTGTGTTTGGAACGAATAGCCAGATGCCATAGACTTCATCCCTGCAGCACAGCCCTGCCCAAATGCAGTTCCTGCCCTGTTGTGTAAAGAGCTGGGTCCTCAGCAGTGCTCAGCTGAAAGTGTGTGAGAGGCCCTTGTGCGTGTCCTGTCTGGCTCTGGCCTGCAGGGCTGCTTGGTGACCCTGAGTGCAGCCTAGCCCAGCTGTGGGAGGGGCTACTTCTGAGGTTTGGGGGTCCTACATGTGACACCCTCTGGGCAGCTCAGAAGCTTGGTGGCTGGCAGGTAGTGGCTTCTAGGACACAGGTCCCAAGTCACAGGGTGCCTTGTCTTCCAGGTGGGCCTGGATTCTGCAGGATGCTCTGGGCATCGCCTTCTGTCTCTACATGCTAAAGACCATCCGCCTCCCGACCTTCAAGGTGAGGGGCCAGCAGGCACATGGTTGCAGGACCACATTGCACAGGTCTCGCTGGGGAGCTTGCAGGGCCTGGCCAAAGGTTCTGCTACAGAGCCACTCCAAGGCCTGGGTCAGAGCCCTTACGTATAAGCAGCGGGTCTCAGGCTTGTAGGTACAGGTGGAAAGCAGTACTGGCCTCCCAGGAGCACATCCTCTCTTCCACCTGCCAGAAACTTCACCTTAATCCTGACCTTGCCCCTCTCCTTGAGGCCTGGCCTGACCTGAAACTTGCACGGCCCTCTCCCTATCCTTTGCTCCCCAGCAGACTGAGTTGGTTTGGCTTGGGTGTCCCAATAAAGCTGTGTCCAAACAGGGAAACTGAGCTCTTCAGGAAGGGAACAGGAAATGGGGAGGATGTTGGCTGTGTCATGGGTGGTCCCTTGTGCCCAGTGGGGCTGTGTCTAGGGACTGCCCATGCCCAGTTTTGACCACGTCCTGGGGAGAGGTCTGCATTCCCAGTGGGACTTTGTAATCTTGGACAGTCCCTGTCCTGGTGCGTTCCCTTAAGGCCCTGTGCTGTTGCTCTGTAGGCCTGCACACTGCTGCTGCTGGTGCTCTTCATCTATGACGTCTTCTTCGTCTTTATCACGCCCTTCCTGACCAAGGTAGGTAGGGTCTGCAGCCCTCTGCACCTCCCCCTCTTTGCTCCCCTGCCCCACTCTGGCATGCCTTTGTTGTCTGCAGAGTGGAAACAGCATCATGGTAGAAGTGGCCACTGGACCCTCAGATTCTGCTACCCATGAGAAGGTACAGCACCTGACGGTGCGGGCCTTACCAGAGAGTGGGGGATGTGGGAATCCCAAGTGGGAGAGGGGGTCTTGCCTGAGGCAGACCTTGGTCTCTCTATAGCTTCCCATGGTGCTGAAGGTGCCCAGGCTGAATGCCTCACCACTAGCACTGTGTGACCGGCCCTTTTCGCTCCTGGGTTTTGGAGACATCTTGGTGCCAGGTATGATGCTGGTGGGGCAAGAGATTAGGAACTGTCAAGCCAAACCCCCGGTAGAGGTTCATCTTTGGGAGTGGGGTGCATTGCAGAGTGTGGTGCCCAGGTTGGGGACTGGAAGGGACCTGGGGTCTGGAAAGCCTCCTGGTTGGATCAGTCCTTGCCTCACCTTGGGTGAGGTGCAGGCCCCTTCCTGGGAGTTGGCACTCCTGGGACTCGGCCAGACAGGCCTGTAAGTGCTGCCCCGTCTCTCTCCCCAGGGCTGCTGGTGGCCTACTGCCACAGATTTGACATCCAGGTGCAGTCTTCCAGGGTCTACTTTGTGGCCTGCACCATCGGTAGGTGCTGCATGCTCCAAGGTGGTGGCTCCCCGATGGCCCTCATGGGAACCATGGTTGTAAAGGGAGTTGGGGGTAGACCCTTCTAGTCTCTCCCCAGTTTCTGCTGCTGTCCGTTCTGCTTTCTTCCCTTTTCTTCTGTTTGCTTCACCTTCCATATGTTTTGTTACCAGAGCCATCTATACAATGTGCATACTCTATTTTGCTTTTTTTGAGGCATGTTCTCACTGTGTAGCCCAGGCTAGCCTCTATCTCACAAAGTGCCATTTTAATTTGAGCCCAGATTGTTTTAAAACATTTCTGAGCCAGGGCCAGGGTGCTGCTCAGGGATAGAGCACTTGTCCGGCACACACAGTCCCTGGGTTCTGTCCTCAGCACCGCCAAAAAAAAAGGAATTTCCAAGGCAGCTTGATGGGTCCCCATGTGTGCACAGCCAGCTGCCTTTCTGCAAAAGCGCACGCCCTAGCCTGGGCACCCTGCTCCCTGGGCCCCACGCATTACATCCGTGATGCCCCGCCATCCCATGGTTCTGCCTCTGCCCAGGGTCCCCTCAGAGAAGTAGGTGAGGGCTTAGCCCAGCCCAAATGACCCTCCTCCTCTGTCCCTCCAGCCTACGGCATTGGCCTCCTGGTGACGTTCCTGGCACTGGTGCTCATGCAGCGTGGCCAGCCCGCCCTCCTCTACCTGGTGCCCTGCATGTTGGTGACGAGCTGCGCGGTGGTGCTGTGGCGCCGGGAGCTGGGCATGTTCTGGACGGGCAGCGGCTTTGTGGTGAATACCAGTTTGCTCTGACTGTCTGCAGAGTAATAGCCCAGTGAGGCCTAACTAGGGTTCAAGTTGAATAAGACCTCCTCGTGTTCCCACTATGCCCCTGGTCGCCCGCCCCGGCTCGGGTCCTGCTTACAGAAGGTGGTTCTTTGGGTGTTGTATCTGCGTGGTCCCTTGGGGGATCCCTTGGGCAGGATCTGAGACTATCACACTCTGGCCTGGATGTGGACACTTCTTTACCAAAGTTGGTCCTCTCAAAAACGCAGTGATGTCCCCTTGGAGTGGTCACCAAGATGCCTGCTGCTCCCACCAGAGCACACAGTGCTTGGGGGCAGGGTGGGGGCAAGGTCAGCCCATGTGTGGCCTCTGTGTCCCCTGTCCTGCCAGCTGGGAAATGCCTTGCTTATTGAGGATACCACTTCCAAGGGGTGTCATGAGCTCTGCTCTCCTGGAAGATAAGATAGAAGCTGGCCGCCCATGCCGTTAGGGTGCTGAGGTAAAGCTGGGGCTCATGGACTGAATGCTCACCCTTGGTGCTCCCCACCCCTCTTGGAGCCCAGGAGAAGGGCTGTATCCCCAGGGGAGTTGACTTGGCCACAAGAGTGAATGGGTTTGCTGGGGGAGCGCAGGAGAGGCAGGCTCGCAGAGGGAGGAGGGGCGAGCAGGCAAAGGAGGGGCTCTCTACCATTTCCCACAAAGGGTTGTGGGGCACTTGCTCCTGCCCTTGGTGGGTATGCTGACCTGCTGGGTATGCTGTGACCTGTGGCACCTGTGCTGCTGGCCCCTGCCCTTGGGACCTCCTGCTCCTGAGCCTGGCTCCCACACTTTAGGGGACAGGCACTCTCCTTCTGCTCTTCCCTCTGACCCATGTATCAGGTGTCCTGCTCTGGGCTCTTGCTCCCTCTCACTGAAGGCCTCTCTTCCTGCAGAAGGACCAGCCCCAGCTCCCATGGTCTCCAGCCAAGGGGCCACAGCCTCCAAAGGACTCAGACACCCCCCGCTCACAGCAGCCTCCAGGTGAAGAGCTGGTCAAGGCCCCCCTGCCTGCTGCACAGCCCCCAGAACCAGCCAGTTCCACATCTGAGGAGGCCAGGGCTACAGCCTCTGCCCAGGAGGCTGGGAGTCCATCGGGCTGTACCACGAGCCCAAGGGCCAGGACCAGGTCCTGCCTGGGTCCCCAGCAGTCATCCATACCATGCCAAAATGATGTGGGATGCCCGGTGCCTGCCGGAGGAGATGGTGGCCACCACCCAGGCAGGAGACCTGTGTGGTGTGGTCCCCAACATGGTGCTCAGTCCTCAGAGGGCCCCATACCTGCTCCTCTCCTTGCCACAGCTGTACCCTGTCCCCCAGCTCTGCTCTGCACTTGGCTGCCATGACCCCCCAGCTCTGCAGTCCTCCTGGCCCCGCGAGGCTCACTGTACTGTCCCTGCCCAGCAAGGCCAGCGCAGTGAGTCCCCCACATTTGGTGCTTTCCCCCGTTGCTTCCCTTGGGCTCTTCCCTAGAAGAGCCTGCACTAGGCAGGAAGAAAATGCAGAAGTGGCTGGTGGTGCCGGTTCTCAGTGTGACATCAGCTGAGTTAGGTCCAGGCTGGGACCTGAGGACAGGGTGGAGGCAGTATGGGGCAGGGCTCCTGGAGATGGGGCCACCATGCAGGTGACAGCAAGCAGATGGGCAGAGAGCCCTGTACTCTTCCCACTTGTTAACAAAGGCTCACTGCGCCCTGACATCCTGTGTCACAGGATCACCTGTGGCCTGCAGGTCTCAATTGCCCCGTGAGGCAGTGAGGGCAGGCAGGACTGGTTGAGGGCAGCCTTGGTGTAGAAGTGCCAGCAGCATAGTACGGGTGTGGCCGTTCAGCCAGGGGAGGCAACTTTTGGAACAAGGAGTATATTCTGGAACTGGCTGTCTGCCCTATACCTCACTGATGGGGTCCTTGGCCCCACACTGGATATGCCTGCAGCCAAGCAAACCAGGGGTGGGGGTTCCCATACGTGTGCTGCATGTTGTCACTGGGAAGCAAGAGTCTGGCACTCCACACAGGCATCTGCCCTGCTGCCCCCCAGTTTCACAGCCTTCAGCTTGAGTCCAGAAAGGAGGCAGAGCCCTTCCACTGCGCTGTCCCGTCAGGAGCTCAGGGCAGCCATTTGGCTCTCACCAGGCAGGACGCAGGAGGAGCCGTGCTCCCGCCTCAGTGCACCAACCCCACTGCAGACAGCCTGTGTTGGGGGCCCCAGCTGCAGGGGAAAACACTGTCTTCCCAAAAAAACGTAAAAAAGCAGGGTCAGTGCAGACAAGAACAACTGGACCTCTCCCTGTGCTCGCTGACAATGGGCCAGAGGGCTGGCAACCTTGCTTCCGCCACTCGGACTGCGCCTTAACTTAAGCTGTTTTGTACATGGGTGTTGGGTGGGCACATCTGTCTCCATATTGGGAATCTGACCAATGTCCAGGAGTTGCAGGTGGGGGTGACTTTCTGCAGTCTCCATTTGTATGTTTTACCTTGCTCCTGTCAACTCAGATGATTAAACATAGCTTTTGATACTCAGTGCCTGCAATTGTCCTGGGTGGGCTGCCCATGTGTGGTGTGGGCAGGAGGCAGGCAAATCCAGAAGCAGTGTGCTGACTACCTGTGCAGCACTGGTCCCTCAGGTGGCTTCGGGGTGCAGGGACCATCTGCAGAAGCTCAGTTCCCACAAATCCTTGCTTGCTGTTGAGGGAGGTGAGCCATGTAAGGGACCAGACTTGGCTCCTTGTGCCTCAGTCCACACCTACTTCCAGGATGAAAGCCCCATCCATAACACACAGGGATGCAGCCTGAGGTTGAAGCTGTGAGAGACATGCTAAAACGGTTATTTGAAGTTGATTTCAATCCATCCATCTGCTCAAGAAGGGTGCCGTCGGGGGCCTTTATTTTTGGGACTTACTGCCCAGAAACAGCATGGCTTTCAGCTCCAAGTGTCCCTCCTGCATGTTGCCTCTAGGGGTCACGGGCCCTGCTGCGGAAGAAAAACTCAGATCCCCTGGCCCCAGCAGCCTCAGGCAGGTCTGTCAATCTGTCCCTGTGTCTTCTGTAAGGTGGGATCAACATCAGGCCTACCGCAGGGCAAAGCAGCTCAGGCGCCAGAGATCAGGTGCCTCCTATTGCATTGCCAAGAAATGGCAGTCCCTGTTGAGTTGATGCTCAGGGTTCATGGGGAAAGGTGTCTCTGCCAGTGAGGCAAGCACTTGGGGCCCAAGATCTGTGCTCAACTTTGCTCACTTGGCGACCCTACGCCACAGCAGGTGGTGGACTTTGCCTTTGCTAAGGGTGGCAGGGCTCGATAGGAGCACAGGAAGGGAGGTCAGCATGCTGCAGTTCTCTGTGTCTTGTGGTTTACCTTACAAAGTGGAACAACAAGGCAACTGTAGGGGCCTTTCACTAAACCAACCAGAGCTGGCATAGTTCTCAGCCTTCCACCATCTTCCATGTACCAACCTACCCATCCACCCATCATCCACCAGTCCACCCACTCATCTACCCACCCATCCACCAGTCCTCCCACCAACCCTTCCATCCATCCACCAGTGCACTCACAACATGTCTTCACTGAACACCTGCTGTGTGCCAGGCTCTGCGAGGGATGGAACGCATCCCGTGTGAGTCCCAGATCTGACTGCTCCAGATGGTTCCATCTGGTGAGGAGTGACAGGATACATGTCAGTGCAGGGCACTTTGGATCCATACAGGTGAGTCCCCCAACTTGGGTGTGGGGAACAGGTATCAGGGATGGCTTCCTGGAGGAGGTAACCACCTGGTGAACTTCAGGGACACATGAGGACTCATTCTGTGACCTGAGTGCGGAGGGGAGAATGGCTGGTGCCAACCAGAGAGGTGTGGGCATCCCCAGCCTCCAGGGGCATCAGGACTCAGAGTCTTGAGGCCTGGAGGGAAGGGTGCAGTGGGTGCCATCAGAAGATGAGGGGCTGGAAATCTGAAGCAAAGAGCGTGGCCCCAGGGGCGGCAGGCTCTCTGCACACTGTTGCCCCCACTCAGCATGCCTTCCTGGAAACCAGCTACCTCCTGATAGAAGGGTGGATTGGAGGCAGCACTGGGGAGACCTCAGCTGGGTCCCTGGGACCTCTGGTTCCTGGAATGGAGCTGCCTCTTCTGCAAAGCAGTGACAGCTACATAAACAGGTGGAGACCCTGCTCAGTGCTAAGCACACAGCACGTATTCCATCAGCTGGACTATGCTGCAGGCAGCTGGAAGGACCTGGACCCAGGAGTGGGGCCAGAGCCAGGGTACAGTGCTTAGGAATAGGTTCATCTGGGGGTCAGATGAGGAGAAAAGAAAGGCAGTTGTCCTACCAGGTGATCCTGCTGGATTGCTCCTCCTCCCCCAATACTGGGTTCTTTACAGCTTGCAAGTGCTTCCCAAAAAATAAGCCACTGTTTAATGCACAAATGTATTGCCCCCAGTTTTGATTTAAAAAAGGGGGTAGGTTTCTGAAGGCAGTGCCAAAAAAAAAAAAGAAGACCCAAGTATCTGGGATAGGCTGGTAGTCTTGATGATGTGCTCACACTCCCCTAGATAACAAAGAAGCAAGCAACCCCACACCCAAGGCAGGACGCTAGGCTGGGGGTGGCCGGTGGCTGCAGACAGAGCATCAAAACCCGGGAGCTCCAGTCTAGCCATGAGGAAAATGCCAGGGCAAATCCCAAACGCTGTCCTTCAAACTGTCCAGGGCACAGAAGCAAGAAATAATGTCTCAGAAACAATCCCAGCCCAGAGGAGCCAGAGGGATGGGATGACTGGTGTCATGAGGAAGCCTGATGGGGTCCTGAGACTAAGGTAGACATTAGGGGAAACTGAGGGAGTCAGAATGAAGGATGGAGGTTAGTTGGTAATAAGGTATGCACATTTGCATGGCAATTATAGCAACTGCAAATGTAAACACTCAGGTGTGTACAGGGAATTGTTTGCTGTTTCCAACAACTTCCATGTCAGTCTTCAGCTGCCTTTAAATAAAACGCTCATTAAATAGGGCTGGTGGAGTGGCTCAAAAGGTTAGAGTGAGTGCCTGCCTAGCAAGTGTGAAGCCCTGAGTTCAAACCCCAGTACTGCCCCAAAACTTATAATTAATAATAAATGACAGTTATTCACTCACACTTCTTGCCCAGCACTGTTCCCTGCTTCCTAGAGAAAGTCAGGAGTCCTTTCCTGCCTTCTGTCCCATGTCACCTGCCCGCAGCACCGCCCTCTCCTGGATTCTACGCAGCTGGACAGATCAGGACTGACCCCTTGGTTGTGGCGGACCCTCAGTCCTGGATCCGCCCCTTCAGAGCTGGATGCTGCCAGGGCTCCTGCCAGGTTCCAGGGCCGGCCGCACCTACCTGCCCCAGCGCGGTGAAGTGGGAGGGCGGCGCCCGCCCAGACCACGCCCACCCAAGACCACGCCCCCACCAAGGCCCCGCCCCCGTCCCGCCCCTCTCTCCACAGCTGCTCCGGCTCCCGCTCGGCATCCCGGCCGCCGCGGTACAGCGTAGTCAGCGGCGGGAGCGCGGTGAGTCGGGGTCGCCGCGGGGCTCGGCTTCCTCTCCAGAAGAGGTCCGTGTGGACGTGGCCGGGCGTGCAGAGGCTGTCAGGCTTGTGTAGATGGGGCCAAGGATGTGTAGACATGGTCAGGGTTGTGTAGACAAGAGCCTGGCAGGTAGATGTGGTCAGGTTATGTAGCTGGGGTCAGGTTGTGTGGACAGTGAAAGGCTGTGAATGTACAATATGTAGACGTAGCTTGCTTGTGTAGACGCTACCAAGTGTGTAGACACCATCAGGGTTGCGTAGAGGCAGCCAGGTGTGGATGCAGGGGCTGGGTTGTCTGGTCCCAGTCAAGGTTGTGAAGATGTGGCTGGAAGGAGGACAAAGGACCCCTAAAGGTCTTCTCATCCCACCAGCCGTTTTCTGATCTTTCTACCCATGAACTGGGCGAAAACCAAGACCTGAGTGGTCTGGAGCCTTCCTGGGGGTGGAGGCATTGTGGAGACAGGGAGGCTTTGTGAGCAGGTGCTCATTACCTCCCAGCACCCAGCTAAGCCCCAGGCCTGGACAGTCCATATATGACAGGATTTGGGGGCGACAGTTGGAGGCAGGAGGTGGACATGGTGACCACGCCTGAGATCCCAGAGGAACCTGAGGCAGGAGGATGGCAGTTCCAGGCCCAGGTCTCATCAGAATTATTCACGTTGCTGAGGAGTTAGCTGAGGATCAACCTGGGCAGGGCGCTGCAGGCCTGGGCCATTGTACAGGGACAAACCGAGGTTCCCAGACCTCACAGAGGAGGGTGAGGGCTCCAGGGTTTGCTCAAGGTTTGGGGACTTGTCACATGGAAAGCAAGCATCATGTCCCAGCCTCTGTCAGAATCACTTTTCTGAGACTCCTAGCACAGGAGGCCATGAGACTGGGGCACAGATGTCATGTGTGATAATGACAAGCACCTGGCAGATCTGCGGGGGCCAGGCAGGCCCTGGGGTTACAGACCTGACCCCAACTCTGCCAGCCAGAAGCCCTGACCTGCTGTGGATGTGTGGTTGTGAGTTTCACTGTGTGTGTGGTTGTGTGGAAGACTGCGTGTGTGGACACACATGTGATTGTGGTTGTGTAATTGTGTCTGGTTATGTGTGGTCATGTTTGTGTGTGACTGTGTGTAGCTGTGTGTGGCAATGTGTGTGATTATGTCTGTGACTGTGGATGGTCGAATGTGGTTGTGGTGTGTGTCTAAGAGTGTGTGACCCCATGTGTAAGACTGTACGTGAGATTCGTGCAGCTGTGATGTGACACTGTGTTGTGTGGTTGTACCATGAGAGTGGGGGTGATTTTGGGGATGGCTGTGTTAAGCTGAGAGTATGGCTGGATGTTTGAATGCTCCTCTTCCTAGTCCTCCCTTCTGGACAATGAGGAGCAGGACCAGTGTCCCCACTGCTCAGGCTGATCTGACCATGAGTTGAGCTCAGCATGGAACCCCTACCCAGACAGGAACACCTCTGTGTCCCTCTGACCTCAGCGTGGGAATTCAGTCAGTGGCCGGGCAGCCCACCTGGGAGGGGGCTCTGCGGGGCCAAGGAAGCATTTGTCTTTTTCACTTTTTTTTGGTGGGACTGGGGCTTGAACTCAGGGCTCTGAAGAAGCACTTGTGTAGAGTCAGTCCACGTTGCAGGTTCTGAACACCAACAGTGTGAGACACAGAGCACTTCGAGGCCATGCTGGTCCCATGGGTGGCTGGGCTCTCAGGACTCTACTTGTCACATGGCTGTGGGTCGAGGGTACTGAGGCAAGGTGGGGTGAAAGGAACTGGGTGCAGGGCTGGTGCAGAGCAAGGGGTACCGGATCTCTCTCTGCTGTGGCTAAGTGAGTCAGCTAATTCTGGCCAAGGAAAATTGAAGAGAAACTGAAGAATTTCTAGCTCTGGGCTTCTGTTCATGAAGACAAAAGAAAGAAATCGCCAGGAAGGGAGGGAGGGAGAGAGGGACAGACAGAGACAGAATGGAGAGGGAGCCAGGACAAAGACTGGGCCTCAATAGCCTCGTCTGTAAAATGGATAATTGTGCCAGACCTCCCATCCCATGGGCTGTGGGGCAGACTGCGGGGGAGGACATAAGGAACCACCTTATGTCTGTGAGTCCTGCACACAGGAACCACCTGTGTCTGTTAATTCCTGCATCCCCCTGGCATCCACACACAGTGTCCCTGCCAGCAGGCACCTCTGCCCTGCATGCTGTTCTGATACATCTTGTCTTATGTGGCCTGAACGTGACCACAGAAGACAGTAAATTCTGGGTGACCAGCTGGTGTCTGCATATGATTCCCTTTGCTGATTTTTATTTTTTGCCTTTACTTATTAATTAAAACACAAAATGATTACAAGCTGGACATGGTGCTTCAAGCCTGTAACCTCAGCTACTCAGGCGGCAGAACTCTGGAGAATGGCATTGGGAGGCCAGTCCATACAAAAAGTTTAGAGACCCCCATCTCAACCAATAAGCTGGGCATAGTGGTACATGCCTGTCATCCCAGCTACATGGGCAGAATAAATAGCAAAATCAAGATCTAGGTGGACCTGAGCATAAAGTGAAACTCTATTAGGAAAATAACAAAAGCTTAAAGGAACTGGGTGGCGGGGGGGGGGGGGGCAGGCATCTGCCTACCAAGTTTAAGACCCTGAATTCAAACTCCAGTACCGACAAAATACTTTTTCCGATTATAGAATAATTTTAGATGCAAAGACAGTCTGAGAGGGTCCCTGGATGCCTTCTATGTGTTAACATCTTACGTAAGTGTAGGACAAACGCTGGAGGTAAGGAATCAACAATCTTTGCTCAAATGTCCCCAGGGCTTCTGCCACTTTACATTTCTGTCCTGTGTTCCAAATCCAGAATCCCACGCTGCATTTAGGACCTGTGTGAATTTTAAATTCTACAAGTGGTGGGTAATTGGAAAGTTGTTTCTTTGATCTATGAGTTTTTATTGTT